CTACTGGAGAGCCAACTTTCTACTCTTACAACACACGACTTAACCCCTCTGCACTAGACTTCTTTATTGTCAACAGGATTGCCCTAAACAGACTCACCGTTGAAACAAAATATGAGCTCGCATCGGATCACCTTCCAGTAGTAGCGACGCTACATCATGCACCGCAATATAATCCCAAGAGGGAATATATTCTACCACCTGGCTCCCGTATTGATGTTTTTAAAGCCGATCTCGAAAGAAGAATTAACCTGAACGTCGAAATTAACAGCCCAGAGGATATCGAAGACGCGATATCAATCCTCATGAAGAACATTTCACTGGCTGCGTCTTCTGCTGCACCGAAAACTTTACGCTTGCCAACCCAACATAGTCAAGCTAGTCTACCACCAACGGCTGCTGCGCTCTTAAGCCTGAAAAGAAGAGTCAGGAAAGAATATGCAAGAACTGGAGATACTCGCATTCATCAAATCTACAAAAGACTGTCCAATCGACTGCAAAAAGAGCTTGCTAAAATCAGACAAGGCAGAATTGATGACATATTGGAAAGTGCTGGTCCAGATGCATCATTTAATTACTCGCTCTGGAAGCTTACGAGGCGATTCAAGAGGCTGGTCATCCCTAAGACTCCAATTAAGGATCCTACAGGTGGATGGAGCTACTCCAGTCAGCAGAAAGCTGAAATCTTTGCAAACAGCCTAGAGGAAAGATTTAAGCCTTTTGACTTTACAACAGCAGATAGGCGAAGGGTAGTCGAGCTTAGGCTGGAGATGCCATTCCAAATGGCCTTGCCTGCAAGCCCAGTTACACTTCAAGAAGTGGTACAGCAGATAAAAAATCTAAAGGTAAAAAAAGCGCCTGGAGAAGACCTTTTAGACAACAGGACGCTGAAACTGCTCCCCACAAGGGCTCTGCTGTATATTGTCTTGCTCATGAATAACATACTCAGGCTGAGGCACTTTCCAAACTGCTGGAAAATGGCGCTAATTACGATGATTCCAAAGCCAGAGAAACAGCATACTGAAGTAGATGGATATAGGCCGATTAGTCTGCTACCTGCCCTCGGGAAGATGATGGAACGCGTGATTCTGGACCGGATTCTCCAGCTCGAAGCCGTGACGCGCAGAATTCCAAAATGGCAATTTGGATTTCGAAGAAGTCACGGAACACCGGAACAGCTCCACCGTGTGGTCAACTTCGCCCTGGAAGCCATGGAGCAAAAGATGTACTCAGTGGCTGTGTTTATGGATATTAAACAAGCTTTTGATAGAGTGTGGCATGATGGTCTCCTCTGCAAATTGAAAAGCATGCTAACTCCTCAATTGTTTCAACTCATCGAAAGCTTTCTAAGGGACAGAAGCTTCAGAGTTGCTGTTGATGGAGTGAAATCCACGAGGCGCTCAATTTGTGCAGGGGTGCCCCAAGGCAGTGTTCTCGGTCCTACCCTGTATACATTATTTACTGCTGATATGCCTGCACCGCAAGAGATCATTGGAGTAGACGAGGATGACGCACTAATAGCTACTTACGCAGACGACACTGCGGTGCTTACCAGAAGCAGAGATATCGATGTAGCTTCGGAAGCCTTACAGCAGTATGTAAGTAGTTTCGAGAAGTGGGCTCTGAATTGGAACATTGGTATCAACGCCAGCAAGTGTGCGAATGTCACATTTACAACAAGGCCGTCGTCATGCGGAGATATCACAATGTTGGGGTCCACGCTCAGTCATACAAATTCGCACAAATATCTTGGTGTAATTCTGGACAGAAGACTCAACTTCAGCAAGCATACAACAATGGTCAAGCGATCGGTCATGGCGAAAGCCGGAAAGATGGCATGGCTGCTTGCACCATGCAACAAGCTGTCCCTGCACAGTAAGGTGACAGTATATAAGTCCATATTAAGTCCAATATGGAAGTATGCGCTACCAATTTATGGCATTGCCGCTGCTTCAAACCTAAACAAAATAAGAGTTGCGCAAGCTAAAATACTTAGAAAAATATGCAACGCTCCCTGGTATATGCGCACTAGGGACATCGAAAGAGACTTATGTGTCCCCAAGGTTGGCGATGTCATTCAAATGCACGCAAGCAATTACGAGAAGCGACTCGGCAGTCACCCCAACGCACTAGCGAGGCGGCTCCTGTCCAAACCTAAGAAGAGAAGACTGAAGAAGTGCCATCCAAAGGATCTCCCCACAAGAGCCCTTGTATAAAATACATAGTATATATCATAAAATATAATCATTTTTCATGTAAAACATTGTAAATATTGTATATATGTACATAGATATAAGTGCGTCCTATAGATGCTTACTATAGACAACTTTTGTATTCCCTAACTTTCAACTAGCTTAAGCTGCCATATTGGTAGTAGAAAACTAGTTTAATAAATTGTATATATCTAAAAAATTTATGTTGCCCCAAATATATGCAGCAGTCAGTGTAGTGCCGCAACAGAGCCCAAGTAGTAACGGCGGCTGCAAGGACAGCCTTGCAGCTGTTCATAGAGAGCGAAGCGTGATCAAAATTTATCTGTCACGGAAATCAGGATTTTTTTGTTTTTATTCTACTGAGGGCTAACACTATTCTAGTGTGGGCATGATTAAATATTCTCAGCTCTCATGATTCGTGCCCTCAGCTTAATAATATTGATAATAATAATAATAATTATTTCTGTTTCGTACGTAAACTTAAAGTTCATTACAATTTATGTAACTAATATTTTATTATTAAAGCTTGCTTTAAGTAAACGCATGCTTATATAATGAGAAATCCTAATGCATCAGTTTATTTATGAGAATATTTTTTGAAAAAGTCATATAACAAATATACAATAATTTTCATCGTTCATCTCTAGCTCTCACACACGTATTTATGTATATGTGGGGCCGCATTAATGTGTGAATGGAAATGTGTCATGTTTTTCTGTCCCCTCGAAATAGAAGCAATTTAAACTTAAATTTCTATTATTTCGCATACATAATACAAGTATTTTGAGCAGGCATGTGCAGTTTCAAATTTATTTTTAATGTTTTTGTTACTACTTCGTCTGCTGCTCCTGCTGTTTGGCTGCCGGCCCTTAGTCATTTTCACGCTTGACTTCCATTGATGTGTCCCCGTAGGCTCCTTGCCGGAGCTCCTTAGTGGGCGGCTCTCTAGCTTTGGGTCGTTCGTTATTCGATTCGATGCGAGACGAGTCGAGTCGAGCTATAGCTACAAAAATACCTAGCTACAAAATATGCAGGCCAACATTATTTTCATGCAAGCATCAGAAGAGAGAGCTACAGGCCAGAAAACTATTTGGCCAACGACAGTTCGCACACATGCCGCACGCTTCCTGGCTGTCTTCCTTCTTTTGCCAGCCTGGCTGCCTTCGCCTTCGACTCGCCTGCCTGCCTGTCAGTTGGGGGAGGTATAAACAATATGGATATAAATGAAGCATCCACGGCTCGTTCCAACTGCTTGGCAATGCACAAATATTGGATGCTGCTGCCTCTGCAAAACAATAACTTTTCAGCTGACGTAATCTTCATCAGCACACGTGCCTATACCATCCATTCCGGCTGTCTGGCGAGCCTGTTAGCTTGTGCAGGTGGCTTGTGAGGACATGCAGTTGTTGCTTGTACTCGTACAAGAAACCGCAAACTATTAAATATGAAATTGCAGTGTTTAAAAATCAAACAATTCTGTTTGAGCTACACTTGAAACTCAGTTGCCGGTTTCAAACCAATTTATGGGTAGAAATAAATCAGATCTTCAGACTAATTGGATGAGCTTATAGAAGAGTTAGAGCTCTAGCTAATCAATAAACAATTCAAGCAATAACTTATAACAGTAGTGTAATAAGAAATACTTTTTAATTGGCCTGCAGTTACTTTTGAATTCACTTTTAATTGCTTTGAATAATTAGTTCTTATATCTCTCAACATGCTTTCTATACAAGAACACAAAACTATTTTTTAAAGTTTAGAAAAAGTCCTAAATACACATTAGAAATTGTAATGAAATTTAAAAAAAGGAAATAAAAAGGTAGTTAATTTTTGAAAAGCTATTTAAACCTTTCACTGCTGGAGAATTGCACAACAGATAGCTCCTTTTCGACCCCAGTGTATCTTAGAGATCGTATATAAAATGTTTGAATAGAAAGTGGGAAAATGCATTTTCCGTAATCTGCTTTAAGTTTATTTAAGTTGCACTTTTTAATTATTTAATTAGTGTTGAAAAGAGACGCAGCCCAGATATCAATTGGAAACTGTATTTATATCCAGTTTTTTGATTCAAACTAATATCATTAATTTGTTATTATTAATTAAAGCATTTCATGAGCATCTAATAAAATAAAAATTAATTTAATACTCTTTGAAAGAAATATTAAACATGTTGTTGTAAAAATAAGTACACTGGCCCATAATTCAATTCATTCATTCAAGCACATTCGAGTAAACCTATGCCTAGTTAGCCTTTTTGCTTTAGTGTTTTCCAAAAATAGAGGTTAAATAAACAATTCTGTCCCAAAAAATAGAATTAAGTCCACACTCTATTGAAGTGTTCTAATATAGCTCTTGTTTTGTCAATCATTAACCCTTTCACATATGTAGTATAGAGCATTGTCTGATTCGTCTATGTCTCTTTTATTTGCTACTCATGTTTCATACTATTTTTATTTTACTTATGTATTTTTGCTACTTGCTTTGGCGACTTAAGTAAACACTTTGCAAGTGACGTAAACGATGAGCGACGACGACGACTGCGATTGTGTGGCGATGGCGATGGCGAGTTGTGATGAAAGAGCGACTTGGGGGTCACGTGGCAAGCTGGCAGCAAAAGTAAATAAATAAATATGCTCGGTATTTGTCAGAGAATTGACTTGAGGCCATAAAATACAAACGTATTCATGTACATATGTAGCCAGGCTACCGTTGTCCATCCGTCCATCCGTCTATCCGACGAGGCATGGCTAGAAGTTTATTAACGCCATATGTTGTGTCCACTCATAACAGGACAAGAGAAACACAACAGCAACAATAATGGCCAGGGACCCTAGCAAATACAGCTTAGATATGCACACAAACACACGAACACACTACACTATACACACACACACACACACAAACACCCACACACACGCACACAAACTTATTAAACACACATATAAACGAGATGGTGTGCCGCCTTGCATGGCCAATGCGTTCTGTCGCTTTCGTACGTGTGTCAACAGGGCGTATGATTAATATTGTATTAATATGCAATATGTAATTAAGATGTTAGCTTCTTGTATTGTGGGACTTCGCAAGTGCACAACTTTAATGCCATTAGCTTGAGGCGACTCTATAGTTTGTAAATGTTTGAATTTTACGCACCTGGAGGAATGAAAGCGTTCCCTACAAGTTAACATAATTGTTAATATAGACTACGAGTATATGTACATATTTCATAAGTAGCATTGCCAAGTACTGGCAAATATCTGCAAGTACTTTTAGGCCAACATTGAATGCATTGTAACAAATATCGTTACATTATACATGAATGCTTCAAGCTGCATCTGAAGTTTAGAAATTTTTAAAAATTCAATCGATAAACATTGCTTATTTTAGCTTGACTTCACTCTTTGCAGTACTTTTTAGCTGTCTTAGATATTGATAGAGCATAATTATAACACATATTTGTTGTACAACATTAATAGTAAAAGAATTATTAGCTAGAAGAGCTGAAAACTAAATTGTAAGGTAAGGGAAGATCGTTGCTGTGCTATCTGCTTTACCTTAATTCTAAATTTCTATTCATTTAGTTTGAAGTAAGGAATTCATTTCATTTAGTTTGAAGTTAGCTTTTCGCATGATTCCAGTTAAATTTTCGTTAATTTTGTACAATCTTTACAATAGATTGAAGATATAAAGAGAAAAAGCCGTGGAGAGCATTTATTTAAAAGCAAATTACAATGTTTTGAATAAATGATTAACAACTTTAAATTAAATATTTAAAATAGTTTATTCTGACCTTACAAAATGCAGTATACTTGATCTGATGCAGTTATTAAATGAAAATAAAAAATAATTATTGGTATTTACAAATGCTTAAAGCGTTACTCTGTACAAATGAGGGGCACATACTATATTAGCTCTCTTAATTAACACCTAGGAGCTTGTGTTCCTCCTTTTCCTCCTTTTTTTGGTAAATAATTTCACGTTTTGATTATTTCTAACATAAAATTTCGATATCCAGGAATGACATTACATGAATTACTCATTTCAGCCAAATTTTTGTACAACCTTAATAATTTATAATCAAATCTGTGGCACTTTTCATGGCTTCCACGTCAGAAGCCTACGAGGACGAGTATGTCGTTTATTTGTCAGTTTTCATTGTTGCCAATATCACGGCTGTCTAGTTTGTGAAAACATTAAAACTAAAAAACTTTGTCGACCAGAAAGCGCAATGCCAAACTAAAAAAGGACTGACAGCTCACGGAAAAAATGTTTAATTAAAAAGGCGAGTGAGAAGTGCATTTTCATGTTGCACGTCACTCGGCTGCGGCTACACATTACTCATACGTACTGTTTCGTTTGGTTTCATTTGGTTTCGTTTGGTTTGGTTTGTTTTCTTCGTCTGTCCATGGTGTGCAGCGTGGAGGTCGTGTCTTGTGCTCGACAGAAATGTCTATCCAGAGAGCAGGAAAATGGAGGCGTGCTGAAATTTGACTTGCCCCTGCCCATGTGGCCGGCGCATCTAAAACTAAGGTTGGGCCATAATTTAAGTTGGCAAATGCCATTCGTTGTGTTGTGTTGTGTGTGTGTGTGTGTGACAAGCATGACATAGAAATTCCCAATGGAGACTTGAAGTCTCGCACAGCCTTGTGTGCTTATAATCAGGCCAAAACAACATGGTCACATGTGTTTTCTGTGCCTTGGAGGTCTCTCTCGCGCTCTACGGGTTGACACTGCCCGCCGGGCAACAACACACACGGCATGGATGCCAAGGCGTATCTAGTAGCTGTTGCTGTCCCTGTTGCTGTTGTTGTTAATTAACACGTGCTCAGCGAATCGTAATTTAATTGTTGCGCTGATGTGTGTGTCCCAGCGGGCTTGCTCTAAACAAGGCTCTGGCGATGTGATCGTGAGATCGCGACTAGAGCAAGGAGTTGCACAATTGTCGAAGAAATTTCTGAGCCGAACAAATCACCGATCAAATGACATACAAGTATGTATAATTATGAAGCTCTAGCTAACCTGGAAGCAGCAATTAATGAACTGAAATTGTTTATCAAAGAACTTTATTTACATAGGAATGCAGGAGTTGGGACAGACACGAGCAGTCTGGAAGGCAGTGTAAGCTCAAGTATTGAAGAGAGGAAAAATAAGTAAATGAAACCGAAATTCAAATATTAATTAACTCTAAATAAATATTGAAGAGAGAGAAAAAGAAGTAAATGAAAGCGAAATAAAAATATGAATCATCATTTAAATAACTCCAAATACTTATCGCGCTCATAAAAAAAGCGTATTTAATTAATAGTAATGCTCTCATTATATTTATTGCAAAATATAACAACAAATTTCACTCAAATTTTAATATAATATTAAAATTATATTTTATTGCCGTTACTAAAGACATTTTGCAATTGACATTATTATTTTAAAAGAATTTATATCCTGAAAAAGTCAGTCTACCAAAACTATACTTTCGTATGATAAAACATTTTTGTAAAAAGCAGGAGAAAGGCATTGTTATCAAAGGTTTTTAAATTGTATTTATAGCTTGTTTCTCAATTGATTACAGTATTTATCAATTTTATTTTATTTATTTATTTATGGTGCTAGCTTAGAGTTAAAACTATAGGCTACCAGGGCCTTAAGCTATATTTGTATGCATTTTAACTTACAGTTATATTATTATTGTTATTGTATACTAATTAGTTGTACCATTTACATTTTTTTTTTTTTTTTAATAATTGCATAGAAATTTCGTTAAACCACATATCTCTAACAATTTTGCAATATTATTGGGCGTATTTTTCGCTTTTTAATTACGTTATCAATAGGGCCAAGAAAGGGAATCTATAACTAACATATCTTTATCTACGCCAAGAAAAATAATTTATAAGTAATAAAATGATTGGAAAAATTAAAAAATTTAATTTAAAAAAAAAGTGCACTGATTTCAAACGATGGCATGCAGAATCGTCTTGAAAGACCATTTTCAAACGTGTCCAGTTAGAGCCTCGATTGTAGGAAAAACATCCATTATTATTATTATTTCCACATAGGCTGCCGAGTTGACAGCTGGAAAGTACTTCCAGCATTAAATGTTCTCCAACACCACGATTTTTAATTGCTCCCCAGATCATAATGTATGGGGAATGCAACACAGAACTTTGCACGCATCGATCACTGAACCTTTCATTGACTCTACGAAGAACCATGACCCCGAATTAAGTTGATTTTGCTAAAGTACTATCAAATGAAATTAATAAATAGGCTGTAACCATTTGCTTTTATAAAACGAAGTGCGTGTTAACTAAAAAATAGACTCCAGCAACTAGTGGCTAATTAGGGGTTCATTACAATAACCAACATTTATGAAAAAAAAAGAAGCTGGTATTTAAACATTTATTTTAAAGGTGTGTGTTCAAATATGGCAGCATTCCATTTGCATCGTTCAAGCCTAATATACGTTGTTTCAAAAATAATGATCGTGTTTGAAAATACTAGCTTATCAGCGGCTGTCTATTGTTTGACAAATGCACTCTTCTAGTTTTTCATTTGCCGCCTTAATACACATTGTTATTATTGTGATTAGCGTGACAGTAATTGCTTGTTGTTGTTGGCACCCATCTCTAAGATAGCTTGCATATATTAGCAGTGCTTTTGGCGAAGGTCGTGTGGTCCTCTGTCCTCTGTCCGCGCTGTTTCTACGAATGCTCGTCGTAGACCCCTTAACGCCTGCTTGAGCCGCCATAAACTGCCTTTCCAAATTGCGAATGTTGTTTGCTTGCCATGCGATGCCAGGCTTTTGCCAAAAGTGCGCATAAAAATCAAAAGCGTGTCATAGACGATGAAGCCGCCGGGCCTTGCAGGCCATGCCATTCTCTCCATCTCCATCTCTATCTGTCTTCCTGCTGATGACCCATTTGGTTTAACGCGCGCGAGCGCTTCAGCAAACTGCCAAAACAAAAGCCATCAGGCCATCATCGTTAGCCATAGAACGGCCGGGCCGGGCCGGGCATTGGGGCATCATCTCATGGCCGTGATGGGGAACTTTTCAATCGCCGTTTAAAATCAATTTGAATGATGAACTTGGGATGCTGATGCTAACAAGAGATGTGGAGCATGCAAAATGACACTTGCAATTCGCTTTTATGTGGCGCCGTTAGCGCACAGCACTTTGTGGCCATCCTTCCCGTGCCACTTCATTATGCAACTCCTAATATTTAGAATTTAAATTCGTTCCTCCTTTCCTCTCAAGACCGATTTCGGATAATTTTAATTTTAAATATTTTATAGTCTTTATGAGTATTAAAAATCAAACGATTCTCATGTTCTATATTGGATGGTATGGGTAATTGTTGGTGGCAACATTTCCTATTCTTTATTTGTACATAAGAGGCGATTTAAAACGATTTAAAACGACCATAACACAGACCCCATTTCGTATTCCCTTCGTTTTCAGAAAGGGAGCATCGTACTTGAATTGTTACTGTTTTATGGAAAGTGCTCATCAGTTTTAGATTATTTCAGAAATAATATCTAATAAAAAAAACTGCGGGCAGTGCTTGCTGAAAAATATATATGGCTTTAACTTTCTGTTAAATCGACCTATCATAAACTTGGCATAGGAACATATAATCACTAACTAAAAGTATTTTCAGAATTTCAAATGTAAATTCCAAGAAATACCGGTGTTATGGAAAATCGTTGATTTCAGAGGAGAGGAGGAGCGAGGGACATTCGAATTCACAAAAAATATATATATATTGTGGCCGTCCTTCTCTAAGATTCTCATACCAAGTACCTATGTGCCGGCAAACCAAGGTTTTAGATTTTCGAAGTTTTGATAAATTAAATTAAATTAAATTTAATAAACATTTTGGCCGCCCTCCTCTGCGATTCTCATACCAAATACCTTAGTGAAGACAAACTGGGACTTAAACAGTGAAATTTCTGATAATTAAAATTAAATTTAAAAAATAATGTTGCCGCCCTCCTCTGCGATTCTCATACAGAGTACCTAAGTGAAGGCAAACTGGGGTTTAAATAGTGAAATTTCTGATAAATTAAATTGAATAAATAAATATTGTGGCAGCCCACCTCTGCGATTCTCATAGCAAGTACCTAAGTGAAACCAGAAAACCAATTTTCCAATAATTTTTTTAATTTTTGTTTATTTTTTTAATTTTTAATAAATACATTCTTACATCATGAAGTGTTGGTCAATATTCCGACTTACCCTTTGTGTCAAATGTTATTTATTTATTTAAAATAGTTTTATGATGAACATTAAGAATTGAAATGGAAATAATTATAATCTCAACTTTTATTGCTACATTGAACCATTATCCCATTATTTCTCCCGCAGAGTTCATACACAGCAGCGTGCGTTATATCGAGATGTCGAACACACATCTGCAGAGCGTCGATGATGAGACTTTTCAGGGGCTGCGTCTGAAGACACTGAAGCTAATCGATAATGAATTGCAGGACATATCGGAACGCAGCTTTAGGTAAGTTGCCAGAAAATGACCCACACGTGTGTGTGTGTGTGTGTGTCTTTTAATATATAGTACAAGTATGTGTAGCTGAACAAAAAGAGTGCTGAGCCATGATGCACTATTTCTCGAAAAACATACTACAATGATGAGTTGGCAGATTTGCCTATTTATGCTGTGGCGCGCACACGATGTGCCCAAAATATCAAATAAAATAAAGAACAGCAGGCTGTGGAAAAAAGAGTAATGAAAACCCTTTAGCGGCAGTTATTCACATATGCATGTGTGTAGTGTTTTGTATATTTTACAACATAAAGGTGCAAGTTGTAAAAACGGCGTAAAATTAAGTTGAACAAAAATGTACGGCTAAAAAAAGAGGGTAAAAAAGAAAAAACGCGGCCATGTTGAGTTGCGAACAAGTGACTGAATGGTTTATACACAGAGCCCTGTTCAGATGATCAAACAAGTTTCGCAAATTGTCAGGTAGAAGTTGGTTTGTTGAGGTCGCTTAAGATCTAAGACAGTTAGCAGTTTCTATTATTCTGATCCTACAAGAAACAGAATTGTATCGATTGAGCCGTTCATTTTGTAAGCATCTTGTCTGAACACTTGCTTTAGAGAGCAACTGGAATCCTTGCACTTTCTTTAGGTGTTTTCAGTTTAAAAATGTGAGGGAAAACTAATAAATAGTCGTCAGCTTTCAAACTGTTACTAGAGTGGTTTTTGATTTAGTAAATGACATTGAAACTTCTTTATATAATTATACTTTGAATTTATATCAATTATATGTTGGATAAAATATGAGCTTATGAGAATATGAACCAAGTTTGCTGATATAGTCATCGAACTGATCCAGAATATACTTCTACATACTTTATAGGGACTTTTTCTATGCTTTTTTCTATTCATTTATTTTTATCGCCGTTATCTTTTCTATATTTATGTTACTGTTATTATTTCAATAACTTACATTAATGTGTTTAAAAAAAAAAAATTACAATAAACTTAAAACAAATGATGAGGTTATTAAAAACTAAACACCTGAGAAGTCTGTTAGGTTTTCTTCTGTGTATAAAAGTTGTTTAATAAAATGGTTTTCGATCAATACATTTTCCGTAACGAAGAAGTTCGAATTTCAAGCTACATTGTAGAATTAAGAAAGGGATTTAAATGCCCAAAAAAAAAAACTAATCTTTTATTGAACAAGATGGAAATTGTTTTTCATATCGATCCAGCAGAACTAATAAGTTTAATTGTGTGGAACCAAAAAAAAAAGTTGTCCAAAAATTAAAAGTTAAAATAGAAATTGAATAAATTGGCAGCTATGGTTAACAAGAGGGAGACTTCAGGCTGCAAGCTTTTGGCATTCCATGTCGTGTGTGAACAGGGCTAAGGATACGTGGTTGCTTGTGGCCATAGTTGGAGGCACTCAGGCATAAAATGCAGGCAGGAAATGCAAACTCACACGGTGGCGCCGCACTGTGCGGCACACGCCAAACAACAAGGCAAAAAAGGAAAACTTTCAAGAGCTATTTGTTTGAGTGTAAATAATCACAAAAAGGAGAAAAACGCAGAAGCGAGTGAAATGCGGAACGAGCAGAGTGTAAAAGCATATGTGTGTGTGTGTGTGCGAGTGTGTTAGTGTGTGTGGCGCGTACTATATTTGTGTGCAATACAGTGGGCATATTTTGCCAGTGCTTAACGTGAAATGTAACTGTGCTTGTGTGTGTGTGTGTGTGTGTGTGTGTGTGCACACATATATATCTTTATATGTGTGTGCGCGTACGTGCGTGTGCTTGGCAGCCCAGCGCTCGACCGCATTTGGCGGCTGCATGAAATGAAACGCGAAAATTTTTTAACGAGCACAAAGGCCGCCCAATGCCACCTCCCCTCTCCCCTCCTCTCCCACCGCTCTTCAGCAACTTCCCTAGCCCCATTGCCTTATACGCCGCACGTTTGCAAAGTTAAATGGACGCCTGTTAACGGTTTGTTCTCCAAAAGTTAACAGACACGCGCAGACATGCAGATATTCATCCCGAAGACATACGCGTGACAATTACTTTAGTAAGCTTCACGCATTATTATAAAAATCAAATTAGAAGTTTGCAAAACGCGAAAATGTTTTATTACACGCACCTTTCCAAAGGTTGTAAGTCTCAATTGTAAGCCCTTGTTGTAATGAAAAAATTAGTATTATACTTGTAGAACGATGGTTTTATTGAAATTAAAATCAGTTTTACATTAAATAAAATTAATTTGTTATTACATATGTAATGATAAATCTATTTTTCTTACGATAAACTAAAATTAAGTATACGCAGATAAACACTCAACACATAACATTGATTTTCTTTTTTTCTTTTTTGCGGCTTTAAAATATAATTAGGATTGGTGTTTTAAAATATTTTAGATAAGTTTTTAGCCTGTTAACATTTGTCGGCCATGGATCAGTTACGTATTTCCCTGAGCCGTACTGTAATTTGAGGAAATACTCTTTAGCTTTTGCATTTCCAGCAATTGTTTTAAAACTCTTTTCAGCCAGAACGCTTGCCTTAAGACAGCTAGCTCGTCATTAACACGGCGTTTCAGAACTTAAATCAAACTAATTAATGTGCATAAGCTGGCAAATGTGTCTAAATGTGCCTTCTGCCACCAAGCAAGGGTACCTGCTCTCTACTGTTGGCTCCTTGTGCCGCCAGCCGCATCCTTGCAGCGTATCCATCAGCTCCTGCTGCTGCTCCTGCTCCTGCCCTTTGATCTCGTGCATTGGCATGACGACAAAAGTGCCGCGATGACGACGAGTAGATGATGATGTTGCCGCCGCCTTCTTCGACTTTTAAACGCAAAGTTTGCTCAACAGTTTAGAAGTAGGGAAGAAAATATTTTACTTTGGCGGGCTCCACTTCATATAAACATTACAAATGTGCCTTAAAGTAAAAAGTTCGCATATGGTGTTGGAAACTTTTAATTTATTTTTTTTCAACTGAGGAAATATGAAGCACGGTATACATGCCTAACACGAAATGGAACTCAATTAAGTAAATCGTAGTTTATATAACTTTAAGTGTCATGAGCATTTAAAATTTCTTTTGGTTTTTGTCAGAGTTTTAAATCAAATGGATTATAATTTCTTTAAGAAAACTTTATTGTCTAAGTAATTTGGTTAAATAAGAGTAATATTCTGAAGCCTACCACCAAACAAGAAATGTGCAAAAAATATGATATACTTTGTTAATTTATTAAATAACAAATGTCGTCACAAAGAGAGGAAATTATTAAGGAAGGAGACATGTAACTTCATGCTTCTAATTAATTCATCAAGTCTTCTTTGGTGATGAAGCACGCAAAGAAAAATTTGATCCACAAATGGGGTAGTTAAATAATAGCTTACCAGCTAATGCATAAGAACTACATTGAGCTGAGCGTCGGATCTTCTTTCGGCGGCTATCTGGGCTAACAAATTGAGCCAGGGATAACATTTTCTTTTGTTGCAAGATGAAAATAGTAATCACAATTATACAGGAGTTTTTTTTATTCAGCTGTGCTTATAAATGTTCAACTCCAGTTAATAAAGTTGCTGACATGAGTATAATTGCTTTGCATTGTCTGTCTGGCATATGCACGAAATTCCATAAATATTTAAATGTATTACAACATATTTAAATTAATAATTTACTTGCAGTGCGCCAAATTTGATGCGAACTTGTGTTCCGACCCGTCTGTACCTTTTTTTTCACCGTTAGGCTTGTGTGACGTTCGTTGCGTGTGCATTTATAAGTGCCGTTAAATGCGCATATTGCGTTATGTTATGTACATTAAGCTTTCCATGTGCACGCACAAACATGCATGTCGACACACATACATATATGTATATTTATACAAATATGTATTCAAAACCAGGGCTGCAAATTTCATTGCTTAATAAAATTGTTTTCTATAGACGGTGGAGCAACGGAATTGTGTAATGGATGATAATAAATAAAAAAGGAGCTTCCAATGTTCTTTGGCAGTTGTTTTTAAATCTATAGCGGAGGCTAGCCTAGCCTGAAAAAAGTACAACAACAGTGCTGTAAAAATTATTTTGAATTGTCACTTGCAAGCCTCGTATGTATAATGGCTGTGGCTCTGATCGAAACAACAAAGCGAGATCGAACTAAACGTGTGTGGGTGAAGGGCAACAGCTTCTGAGAGCACTGAGCAAGAGAGCAAGAGAGCGCTGCTAATTAACATTGCGTTAATGAGAGCCAGAAAGCGCTGTAGACGCAGCGATCTTACGGTATGTTATTTTACAGCGCTGTATTACTACAAGTAGCAGTAACAGTAAAGGGGTATAAATTTCCGTTATGTAACAAGCAATACAAATTCTCTCTCTCTCTCTCTCTATAAGAACACACCTGAACATCTGAGTCCACTTGCGCATTACTTTAATACAATTACGCGAGTATACTACTAAATCCAACTTTTTTATGAAACTCTATAAATTGTGAATATGTTGCTAAGAACCTTCCACGGAATTTGAATTCGTCACGTACTATCGATATAATCGGCTGTATTGGAGGTTCATAGCATAGATAAATATTGGAAATTAGAAAATATGGATTGCTTTTCTATAAATAGCTGAAATGGTTAATTACAATCAGCCTGAAATCTATTTATTTCTTTGTAAACGTCAATAACCACATTTCACGATGGGTCACCAATTAATAGAGAATGGTGTAAATATCTATGACGAGATGTTTTGTAAAACCGCTAATGACTTTACCAGCTTCTTAAACCGGCAATGCTTAAAGGGGTTCATATAATATTTACTTTAAATATCATTTAAGAGCTGCTTTACAAAACTAGTTCGGTAGTGATATGGGATGCCATCCCTGTTTAAATCGTCACATAAGTTGAGGTTTCGTGGCATATTTACTTGGAACCTTTTGATGACAAATAAACACACACGCAGGCACCGCACCGCACGCAACTTGAAGTGGCGACCACAAGGAAAAACAACAACAACGCCAACAACAACATCAGCAGTAACAACAACAACCGGCAACTGGTAAACGACAAGCAACCACTGAATGAGTCGAACCACGCACAAAATGGAGCCACAAAAATTCGGTTTGCTTTTGCGTTTGATTCTTCGACGCGACTACAGCAACAACAGCAGCAACAACAACAACAACAACAGCGGCAACAACAACAACAGCAAAAGTAGTGCCTACAACAACACAAGCAGTGGTCATGTGTTGAGCTGCTTGTTTGGAAAACCTCGTGGTTTTCATAATTGAGGTCGTTGTTGTATGCGCATGTTTGTGCAAGTGTGTGTGACGTGCGTATGTGTGACTATTAATGGGTTAGTAGTCGAAAGCTGGGGAGGGTGCGAAAATAGGGTCGGACGAGGGGTAGTAGTAGTGGGGTCCGACTACCGACTACAGACTACAGACTACCTGACAGCCAACTGTTTGTTAAAGTGGACGTTTGGGTTCACAGGTCGACATCGGTGCGTTAATTAAGTTTAAATATTTGTTTTCCAACTTCAGGTTGTGTGTGTGTGTGTGTGTGTGTGTGCGAGCGACTGGGTGTGTGTGTCTGCGTGTGCGTGTGGATATGTCAAAAGGCAGGCAGCACATCAATTTGTAAGTGGTGGGCCGTCTGCAAGATTTTTGGGATGAGCTAGAACAGGTGGCAGGGGCAGCTGCCATTAAGAGCAATTTATTAAAGGCCGAAAATAAGTTGAACGGACAGTTCGTGTCACTAGCTGGGCAGCGCATAAAAATACATTAATGGCTACCTTTGACTCATTTTCAAAATTGTATGTTCTTTATAAAGCAGATAAGATTTCTGATTTGCAACGTTGCGTATGAGTAATGTAGCCTTTAAAGTCGAGTGGTCTGCTAATGGCCTTATTCGAATTGTTTAACAAGTCGAAGTTTTGTGAATTACTTTTTAATAATATTTCAATAACATTTCAATAACATTTCAATAAGATTCAAATAACATTTCAATAGCATTTCAATAACATTTCAAGTAACATTTCAATAACACTTCAGTAATAGTTCTAGTTTTGACTAGGAATTGCTGTTATTTCTAATTGTATTATTTAACTAATTTTTTGTTTGTCAATATATTTGTTATTTAAACTTATGCGTACCTGTTCCGCTTTGTACTTAGTATTGTACGTGTGATTTTATTTTGAAACAAGGTTTTAAAATACACAAAAAATAGTTTGGAATTGTCTATATACATTTAATTCTAAAAACATGTTGAAATTGTCCTAAAACTTAGTTAATATTAAGCAATTAAAATGGGCGATTATAATAGTTAGTTGCAAACAAATGGCATTTGCAGGCGTAGCTCAGAAAAGTGATAACCAGAACAGCATTTTGCAAATCACTATACTGCTAATTTGTTTGTGTGGATAAACAATTGTAACCAACTTTAATGTGGAATTCAGAAACTTGAACATTAGATAAAATTAAAATGAAAATACTGCATTTGTTTGCCAGCTACCACAGCCGATTCAGTTAAACAAAACTATTTAGAAGCTTAATCATATCATTATCCTAATAAACATATGCTTCTTTGTTCTCTTACAGTACGATGACGCACTCTCTGATGACTTTAGATATATCGGGGAACAAGATGCAGCAACTGCCGCTAGAGGCAATGCAAAAGTTACACTCACTCACACGCCTGGTGGCGCAACGGTAAGTAGATCCCAAGCATCCATTATCTAAGCAAGATTTCTAAATTTCAATGCTATAATTTAGTTAATAAGTGTAAAGTAGAAATAAAGCAAAAGCGTTTCATCAAGTTTAGTAAATGCAAGTATTTATTAAAGTTTATGAAGAAATGTAAATAAATAATATTGTAAAAGGGGACTCGAATAAAAAAAAATCATGATATATTTAATGTTATAGCATTCCAAGTACAAAAAAATACATTGTTTAATTTAATTGATTAATGATTTAAAATTATCATACATCTGCCCAGTACATAAAGCTTTTTAAATATGTGGGACCGAGGGTGGAGTTTTATATTTAAAATTTAAAAGAAAAATTAAAGGAATATTTTTAAATAGTCGACAAAAAAGAATATAGAAAGGATTTAGAGGAATATTTTTCAGAATATATAACTTATTACTTATTTAGGAATTGATTTTGTGGCAACGAATTGTGCCACCCTAATAATATATCCCTTCTTTATTGAACAGCAATCACATAACGACTTTGGATGGCAATTGGGAGGCCCAGCACGATACGCTGCGATCCTTGCATCTGTCTGGTAACGACATACACGAGGTAGCGCCAGGAAATGGTCAGGAGCTGCTGGCCCACAGCGACAATAGCTCGCATCCCTCCAGCCTGGCGGCGGTGCAGACGCGCGTGGATACGAATAATGTGGTTCATATGCCAACACATAGCTCGGGATACAGTGGAGATCGCTACAATTCGCGACCCTTTGAGCAGCTGCAGAAGCTGCTGTGGCTGGACCTTTCCAATAATCGCATTTATCATGTGGTTGCCAACTATTTGCCACGCTCGTTGGTCACCATGGATTTGTCCAGTAATCTGCTGACGCAGTTCCCCCATCAGCTGTTCGAGCACCTATCGGAGCTGCGAATTGTGAGTCTGAGGGATAATCTAATACGCAGCGTCCAGTGGAAGGATCTGCAAGTGCGGCCAGTGCGAATAAATCTGGAGAAGCTGGATCTGGGACAGAATAGCATTGAGGCACTGGACTCGGATTACTTTCAGCAGAACTACTCCGATGTGCATATACGCGCCCTCAACCTAGAGCAGAACTTTATAGGAGAGCTGCCTGCAGCCGTTTTTAAAGCCACTGGCATTGCTCACCTAGTGCTGGCCTTCAATGCCATAGAGCGAGTGCATCCGGAGGCCTTTGAGGGTCTAACCGATAGCCTGGAGTACTTGGATTTGGAGCGTAATCGTCTGAGCACGGTGCCAGTGGCCATTGCTTCGCTGCATCGTCTGAAGTACCTCTATCTGACCTCCAATGAGATTAGCCAGCTGACCAATCTGCCCACCTATACGGAGAACTTGCGTGTCCTCAGCCTGAGTGGCAATAACTTCAGCATGATTCCTGTGCTGGGTCTAAAGAACTACACGCAGCTGTCGTATCTGAACATGGGCTACAATTCCATTACAGATATACCCGAGGGCATATTTACGGTGGACAACTGGGGCGCCAATTTGCAGACCATTCTACTGCGCAACAATAAGATCACACATCTGCATCTGGGCTCGTTCGCAGGACTGGAGCAGATACAGGAGATCAGTTTGAGCTTTAATGACATCACCATACACCATCCTCAGGTGTTTGAGAATGTTTCGCACACTCTGAAGATACTGGAACTATCCTTTGCAGTGTTCCCTGCACGCAGTCTGGAGTCTCTGGACCCTTTGGAGGCCCTGCTGCCGCTCTCGCAGCTCATTTGGCTGGGTCTGGACAACAATAATTTGAAGAGTGTGTCCAACGAGTCGTTCGCTCAGATGCGCGAACTCAGTTACATCAATCTGAGCTTCAATCAGTTGAAGTCGCTGCCCCAGGGCCTCTTTCTGCCCGATGCGCACAGTCATCTGGTGGAGATAGATCTCTCCTACAATGCGCTGGAGCAACTGAAGCCGCAAACATTTCACAATCTCGGAGATCTGCAGACTTTGAATCTGCAATCGAATCGTTTGCGCAGCATCTCCAGACATGCCTTCCACAATCTGGAGTTTCTGCGCTACATCGATCTCTCGCACAATCGACTGAACAACATCTCGCATGCTGCTTTTACGGTGCTGCCCAATTTGGCGGCCTTGGATCTCATGCACAATAACCTGTGTACGGTGTCCTTGAAGTCCTTTCATTATGTCTCGAATGCGACGACACCGTTGCGCCTGAATCTCAGTCACAATCACATTGCGAGCTTCGACGATGAGCTGAGCAGCTATATGTACATCTATCATCTGGATGTTAGTCACAACCATATAGCCAAGTCGGATTGCTTTCAAAATCTGGCCAATACACTGCGCTTCCTAAACTTGGCGCACAATACCCTCGGTTCGTTGCCAAATCATGCTTTTGGTGATTTGGAATTTCTCGAAATTCTCAACCTGGCTCACAATAATTTGAGCTCGTTGCGTCGCCGTAGCTTCCAGGGCTTGAATAGCTTGCAGGAACTGGATCTGAGCCACAACCAGCTGGATCAGCTGCAGGTGGAGCAGTTTTCGAATTTGAGGAAGCTGCGCATCTTGCGCATCGGCTCGAATAAGCTGAGAGCGTTGCCGCGTGAGGTGTTCATGAACACCCGCCTGGAGTTCCTAGACATAGCCGATAATCAGTTGACTGTGTGGCCCGTTCCTGCCTTCACCGATGTGGGCTTCACACTGCGCTCCATTCAAATGTCGGGCAACTTGTTGGAGTACCTCGACGCCTCCATGTTCGTCAACTCGCAGTTCCTCTATGACATTAGTTTGGCGCACAATCGCATTACCATACTGCCCGACAACACCTTCAGCTTCCTCAACAATCTCACCAACCTGGACCTGTCCGAGAATCCACTCGTCACCACAAACCTACGCGAAGTCTTCGTGCACACGCCTCGTTTGCGGAAACTCAGTCTTCATCACATGGGTCTCTATGTGCTGCCGCCCCTCAAGCTACCGCTGCTCTCCTACCTGGATGTGAGTGGCAACTACTTGCAGGAGCTATCCCCACTCGGCTCATTGCGTCATCTCCGTTATGTGAATGTCTCGCATAATAAGCTGATTAATGCCAGCTGCGCCGTCGAGCACTTGCCGCCTTCCGTGAGAGTTCTGGACCTGGCGCACAATCCATTGCGTCGCATTACGCTGCACGATCTGGTCGGTCTGCGGCATCTGGACGAACTAAATCTGCTGGATGTGAAGGTCGGCAATCCGCAGGCATTCTCCAAGCTGCGCTCGCTGAGGAAACTACATGCCAGCTCGCACTCGAACCTGGGGGAGCTGGTGGCGCGCCTGCCGGGTCTGCAGCAGCTGCGCGTGCATTGCCTGGAGCCGAACATCGGACCCCAGTTGCTGGCCAAGCTGGCCAATAACACTAAGCTGCAATTGGTGGAGCTCTATGGCAGCAATGTTCAAACCATATCGCCCCACGTATTTACGGGGCTGGCGCGAAATCATCGCCTAAAAGTGAAAATTTCCCACACACGCATCTCCGATCTGCCGCCGGGCATATTCTATGCTCTGCGCGAGGTGCCTCATCTGTCCATCGATATCTCGCATAATCGGATCAACGCGCTCGCCGCCGACAGCTTCTACCCGAACAAGAGCTACTGGGATACGGTTGGCACGCGCAGCATCATGGGTGGCCTAATCACGGCCCATAATCCCTTGGAATGTGAGTGTGGACTAGTCTGGTTCGGTCATTGGCTGAGGCGCTGGCTGCGCGAGTCGGCCCAAATCAAGGTCATACAGAAGGACGATATGAAGCGCATGGTGCAGGTGAGTCCAAAGATTCCCCTTCCTCTGGCGAGCCCTCTCTTTTCTACGTTGCTTTAAAATCTATTCTTGATTTTGTTTTCTTCTCAATAAAAAGTTACCCCTATCGTTCGCCGATATGCGCGTAAGCTTTATTACTTTTATCTACAGTTGAATTACACTTTTGAAAAATACCTTTGCAATGAGGCTTTTGTTTTAACAACCATGGACATTACAGCGAAATTAAAGATGTTATTATTTAAATTATTAATTGTAAAACAACAGAAAGCGGGATACGAATGCTGGGGAGCAACAAAACTGGACTTGTGGCAGAGACTTTGTCTTGTTTCGCCAAAATTAACAAAAACCAAGCCAATTTCGGGTGTCCCGACTTTGAAATACTCTGTACATATGTGTGGAATAATTGTGCGTGCCTATGCGTGTTTGGGTGTGTCTGTGTATCCTTCGTGTGCCTGTTCAAAGCAGCAACAACCACAACAGCTGCGGGCAGTGCTCGGGCAAAACAAACAGACTAATCATCACCAACTGGAAGTATTTGCACAATTTGAGTTCGAAATTCCAAGAAATACAGGAGTTACGGAAAATTAATTGCAGTCAAGAGGGGGGAGGGAGGAATATTCTAAAATACACATTTTCTGCGTATTTACATAAGGCATCTGGGACTCCAATTTGGTACTTAATTGAAGGCAAACTGGGATTTAAATTTTCGAATTTTTAATAAATTAAATTACATTTAATAAACATTTTGGCCGCCCTTCTCTGCGATTCTCACACTAAGTACCTAAGTGAAGGCAAACTGGCATTTAAATAGTGAAATTTCTGATAAATTAAATTAAATTTAATAATATTATGGCCGCCCTTCTCTGCGATTATCATACCAAGTACCTAAGTGAAGGCAAACTGGGATTTAAACTTTCGAATTTTTATTAAATTAAATTACATTTAATAAACATTTTGGCCGCCCTTCTCTGCGATTCTCACACTAAGTACCTAAGTGAAGGCAAACTGGCATTTAAATAGTGCAATTTCTGATAAATTAAATTAAATTTAATAATATTATGGCCGCCCTTCTCTGCGATTCTCATACCAAGTACCTAAGTGAAGGCAAACTGGGATTTAAACTTTCGAATTTTTAATAAATTAAATTAAATTTAATAAACATTTTGACCGCCCTCCTCTGCGATTCTCACACTAAGTACCTAAGTGAAGGCAAACTGGCATTTAAATAGTGAAATTTCTGATAAATTAAATTAAAAAGTTGTTGCAAAGATATTTAAGCTTCGGCATGCCGAGGAACATGTTTAGTTCTTGGTTTTCATTTAGGCAATGCAATTATTATTGTTCTAATTTCTCGCTCTGAATCATTTTTGCAGCGCGCTCGTGCTAATACCTGCCACGATACCACAACGGGCCGGCATCTGCCGATACTGGAAATCTTTCCCGAGGATCTGCTGTGCCAGGCCAGTGCACTGAGCAGCTCCGGCCAGCGAGTGTTTCTGCTCTCCTTTGCGGCGCTCATATTGCCGATCTTCAGCATGTCCCTTTGATAATGACTGACGGCGTCCAGCATGAGAACGGGAGTCTGCCTTTAGTTCTGCCAATTGTAAGTTCCGTTACGACTTTAACTCCGTTGGACGTTAGCTAAGCCGTCGCTGGTCAAGTCATCTCCTGGCAATATGTGTATGATATGTGTATATATATGTACTAACACTAACTACTAACATTAATACTAAACTTAGTGAATGGCCATACCTAACAGGACCATTTTTTTGGCAGGCTAGACTGGGGCGAGAGTGGGCTTAAGAGGACTTGGAATAAATAATACCATCATTGCATTTATTTAAAGTATTAATACAACTTTAGACCGATTCAGATTTATATTAAGTAAAAGTTGTTGCCGTTTTATAATTTCTGAAGTGCGAGAGTTGGAAGTTTCTGGAAATAAAAGATTCGAAATGAATGCCAAGAAGTGAAAGGCATGTGCTTGATATATGCAGATATCATGGAATTTATTTCGAAATCCAAAAAACTTAGAGTCAATCAATCAATCAACAATGTCCGCCTTTGAATAAAACATAGAGATCGGATTTCTACGGCTAGTACGTGTTCTGTTCGAGAGAAGATGTCATATAGAAACAGTTACTTAACAAAGTTATGTTCCAAGAATTATTAGGCCCATTATCTTGTTGTATGTCCAAGTCCACTCTCCTACAACGTAAGTTTTAGAAAACAATTCCACTTGACGGCATCTGCCGTCTTTAGCAGAGAAGGCATTATCTCCAATCAGGGAGACAAACCAAAGCTTATCGAAACGAAATCAAGATGCAGCGCCAAGATATTGAAAATGTGAAAACTGCATTAAGGAACTTTAAGTTCCGCATTAATTCGATTCGATTCGATTAGAATTGATTTGAATTGGTTTGTTTGTTTGATGTAAGCCAACATAAAGGGTAATTAATGAAATTGATTACAGAAACAAAAACAAACACACACACATCAGCGAACATGAAATGATTCCTACTAACTCACACACACACTCATTCGCAACAACAGACACACACACACACACCCTAAAACACTTAGAAAAGTAGTCAATGATCACTGCACACAGATACACACACACACACACACACACATGAAAGATAAATGGAAGAACTAGCCAATAAGTAAGTTGTTAATAATAGTTTACGAATATTTTTAAAAGCTGAAACAATTTTACATACGACTATATGTACGTATGAGAAAAGATACTTTAGCCAGGCCAATAAGTATATAATAAATACTTATATATATGAAAATAGATACATATATAAACAACCTATGAGTAACAATTACATATAATGGTTTTTTATCAACGTAGCGCGGCAAGAGTCGCATGCACAACTACTAAAAAAACAAAAACAAAAAAACAGAAAGAAATAAAAACAAAGTTTTAAAGGTTATGGAGGCGACGTTATTGCGACCCGGGAGGCGTGAAGTGGGCGCGGTCAATTTTTAATCATATGACACATACATAAGTACATATCAGTTCGGCAAATAAATAAAATTTGAATTAAAAAATGAACGAGTAAAACAAAAAACAAACAGAGGCAAAATCGTTTATAAACAATTAAACACACATACTACCAAAAAAAAAGGAAAAGGAAAAGAAAACAAAATAAATTAATATATATGTATATGTGAATTCCATTTTTTATTGTTTTTTGTTACAACAATGACAATCGTGATACTAATTGTAGTTGTTTACACGACGAAATATGCAAAATAATGCACACACACACACACAAGTATAATAAATAAACTTTTGAAATGAAATAAACGAAACGAAACGAATTATGAATGCGGCCACCAAACAAAAGTCCATTGGATGCTAGGGTTGGTTCGAGCCCATTCATTTGACGTGGCCCGCATACGAAATGTTGCTATTTCCTCCCCCACATCCCCCCTGAGAACTCTGTGCATTTAAACCAATAATATTTGTATATAGTAGAGCGACGAAATGCATTTTGGTTGTTTTTATCAATTATGCCAAAAATAGACGGCGCCATAAAGACACACAAAGCAACACAAAAGAGCAAAATACCAGACAGCAAACAAAAAAAAAAAAAGAAAAAAAAACGGCAACAGCAAATGTAGTGAACAAAAATAATATTAAAAAACAAGAAAATGATATTAATAATATGAAATTGATTATGAAATAAATGATAATAAAAAAACTCTAGAAATATTAACAACAATGATTTTCCTGCTCTTTTAATTGAATTGATTTGGTGTTGGCATAACTCTTTACATTTTGTTTTTGTGTATTGGAATTTGTTTGTGGTGGCGTGTCAAATGATTTAATCAATCAATAAATTGAAAAATAGGCAATAATGGAATGTCATTAAATGGACGAGAGATGACACGTACTAGAATATATACACATGCTCGTATATAGCCAATTCATGGTGTAAACTGATTTATTAACAACTTATTAATTTTCTGCAACTAATTTTAGAATCATACTGAAACAAACTAGCTTATATTCATTGCAAAGAAGAATTCAACAATTTGCAAGTATTTCTTATTAATTCAAATTTATTTTTCTATATTTATCAAAAGTTCAAGACGAAATCGATTTCAACACAAATATGAAATGCTGCATGTGCAAGAAACTATTTCTTACTTAGTTGAACTTAAAATAGAATGCAGTCTAAAAAGGAATCAGCAGTATGCCTTTTTAAACAATCGCGTAAAAAGCTGGCTGAGCGTCTAAGCTAAACAGAACTTAGCCGAGTATTCGAGCGGGATATGGTCTCCTGTTTATGCCTTGAGAAAAACAAGAAAAAAAGGGGAAAAAGGGAAAAAAGGTACACAAGGTTTGTGCAAACTACATGCTTTGTGGAAGGTAGAAGCATATTCATAAGGTATATATATTCCTAATCAGCATGATGAGGGAAATCGATCTAGATATGTACATCTGTCCAGCCGTCTGTCTGTCTGAATGCCTGGATTTCGTAAACGGTTGAGTCCAAATTTACCGAACTTGGTATGTAGACCTACTTTATTCCCAGAAAACACGCGTTAATTTTATTCTTTTCAGAATTTCAAAGCTATATAGTATAAGCCAAACATTGCACACGAAATTAATATACTCTCCTCGCTTAAAACACTATACTTTTGTTTAAAATTTCATTCAAATCGGTAAGTTCTAAGAAAAGTTATTAGCGAAATAATTTTACTACAGTAGTGCGCCCACAAATTCCTTAATTGTGTTTCTGCGGCAGGCTTCTCTCATAGTCGTGCTTCCAAATGGTTTCTCATTTTACAAATGACTCCATTTAAGATGAATTTTAAAAATAGATTACTAATTTGTTGCTTAGATTTCATTGCTAAGCTAAGCATTCGTAAATAAATGTCATTTAGCAAGCTTACTTACGTGATAATTGTGCAACAAAGGGCCAGATGTTGATTCGCAGGCCTAAGTGTAAATTTTTGTGGCAGTTTTTTTTTTTTTTGGATATGTAAGAGCAATAGCCACTACTAACCCTTCAAAGTGAAACCTAGGCTCTTCATAAACTGATTAAGCATAGTTGAGATAATCAAGTTATAGGACATTCACTTCATTTTTTCATGCTGCCCATTTTGTTTTGATTTATGAAATCTCTCCCATAAATTCATCAACAGCGATTGCCGTTAAGTGATGAGCCCTCGCCTTAAGGACTATCAAGTATAAATGCTTATCTGTGCCATTTCAGCTGCACATGTTAACCCACATGGTTAGCCCCCACATTGAAAATGGTTCTTGTTGCTGAACCCGAATCCGAAAGCACTTTCGTTAAGTTTAGCGTTTACGTGTTTTAAATAATAAGCACACAATGCGAGCTAAACACTGCAAATGTGAGAACGCGTTGAACCTGCAAAACATATATATATATATATATATATATATGTATGTACATACTCCTACATACATGTATGTATATACAGCATGTACATATGTACATAACTTGGCGGTAACTGCGCTGCGGCAGACCTCAGACATTAGCCCGGCATTTTGTGGGTTTAAGTTTGCGAGCCGGCTGCTCGCGACCCTTTTACACGTTTTAGTGTTTTGGCCAATGAAACCTGATAATAACGCGCTGGCTAAAGGCAAATAAAGTGGCACAAATTATGTGAGCACGCTTGCTGCGAGCGAAGGTGGAAGCCAACTGCATGGGGGCCAGGGCAGTGGTTACACTAACAAAAAAAAGGCAATTCAACTATAAGAATTTTGATTCAAAGTTCACAAATATAGTAAAGGTAGGTCTTTGAGGTAAAGAACTTTTTCATTTTCAAAGTAGAAGTGAGCATTGAAAGCTTCTTTATTTAAAAATACAATCGGTTTAATAATTCATTCAATTTCTAAATAATCAGGTGCCCCAGGAATACTTCTAAATTAAGGAGCATCCAATGAAGCACAAATAAAAGCAGGATATTAAAAATATTTCATTTGAAAATGCAAATACTGCTTGTTTTGAAAGCTCCAAATATCTTTTCGATCTTTGTTGTCCTTATTATATTAATAAAACAACAACAAGATCATTTATTTGAAAGAGAATAAGTTCAGAATTAAAGAAGTATTTTATTTTCATTGCAAACATTCATAACTTTTGAAAATTAAATGCTGTTACTTGTACTTTGCTTAACTCTGCTGCCCAACTCAAAAAAAGAGAAGTAAAAAGTTAGGAATTAGGAATCTAAAACCTTAGAGTTAAAACAAAGTTCCTTTAGAAGAAGTTTTTATCAAAATTACAATTTTCTCGAAGTTCCTCTATTCTTTGGAAACGCATAAATATTAAACTTAAATATCTGATTGTTAATGATTTTTCTGTTTGTAGGTACAGACACAGTTAGGCAAATCAAAAGCATAGTATAAAAAATTGTTTGTTTTGTTTGCAGAAACAGACACACTTAGGCAAATCTAGATGCATAGACTAGGATCCTTCCAGCTTATACCAAATGATGGTAGTATTTTTAAATTATGTTTTTCCCACATGTACCAAGATTTATGTTTGTTTGTTTTTTTTTTTTTAAGTGCACAGAAGCAAGCATGGGAGAACCTGGCAACTGTGTCAGGAAGTGTGGTATAAAGGATCAGGGTCTTGGCGCAAAAGCGCGTTGGCCAGGCTAAAACGTGCACTCATAATTGGATTATTGGCCATGCAGCAGTGCTGCAATTCTCTTTTCTTTTTGACAGCCGAGAAACCTTTCAACGCTTTTAAGGCTCTTTGTGGCCGGTCTGAGTTGCGAGTAGCGAGCCGCGTATTATGTGTTGAGTGAGCATGTGTGAGTGGAGTGTGCGTGTGCGTGTATGAGTGTGCGTGTGCATATGCCGGAGATTGCATGTCGATGCGACTTAATTGCATTTCAAACAGCACTGCCAACAAGCTGTTTGCTCTGCGCCTCGGCCGAAGCGTGTTGAACGGAAGGAAATGCCGCTAAGTACAGCTTGCTCGGCCGTTTTCTGACCTGAAACGACCCGCATAAGTTCCTCAATGCGCTGCCCAGCCCCCGATTACTCTGCATTGTGTCCTGCCGTCCTGCGAAAGAAAGCGAAATGGCGAAATGGCGAAATTGGTGAAAGTGAAACGCATGAAGGAGCATAACCTGAAACGTTTGGGTGAGAATTGCTGCAATTTAATAGCCACAGGGGGCATAGCTAAGAGCACAAAGGAGTGAGTGAAGCAAAGCAATAGCAACTCATGTGGCTCAGCATGTATGGAGAGTTGCAGCCAAAGGACGAGTAAAGAGGAATATAGTAACATTTGCGAGTATTTCTTTACGTCTGAGACGCTTTCACAAAGAAAGAACGAATCAATAATAAAATAAAAGCATTTTTGAGCAACAACTGTTAAGTGAATTTCCAAAAAGTACTTTTTATAGTTAAATGTTAAAGTTCAGCTCCTTGTCCATGAGAGTCCACGAATTAGGTGTTCCAAAAATGTAGAATTTATTTTAATTTATGATATTATTGAATATAGAAAATTGATCTGTGCAGCCCAACTATATTTAAGCTGAAGCCGTAGCAACTTTTCTAACTCTGGAAATAGGCGAATGCAAGATAAAACAAATTAATTCGATTTTGGAAAAGTTGATGGCGCTATGGTTTTTGATAAATAAGTTTGTCAATCGCGCTGGTTAAACTCTTGTATACCCTCAACTGATATACATTCTGTTGTATCAATCGTTTCTATAGCAGCTATTTACTGTTCTGCGCTTTTGTTGGAACT